AACAAGTATTGGCTAAAAGCGTATCTAACCATTTCTGATATTTAAAATGGTGTTTACATGAGTTTGATCATTATCGACATTTTAAAGTTCAAAATATATATGCATATATGATTTATATCGTTTGATATTTTTCATGCTGATAAAACCAATGATAATTTTAGGAGTGGAACACTTCTCTTGATTAATTTCAACCCTTTCGTGTGTAGGCAGTAACTACCAAAGACTAATGGGTGACGTTGCGCGAAATCCGTAGGTCAATCAGAGTTGGACATGAACACCGTCGGATGCCGGCCCAGTGGTCCGATGGTTAGGCGTTCGCGCACAATACCGAACGTTCTGGGTTCGAATCCTGCCAGGTGCAGGAGTCGTGGATGCGCACTGCCACTGATGAGTCCCACACCAGGACGAAACGGCCGTCTTTCAGTGCTTCCACATTTCTAATGGTGGTCTAACAATGACTGACTGATGATTTCAAATGTGTGAAAACACAAATCTCCAAAACTCTAACCGAAAATATTATTTAATAATCAGGCATGAAATATCAGTACAAACAGTAAGCGGTTAATAATATTAAACTATGAAATCAAATTATCACCGTAGATTTATTCCGTTTAAAATTACTATGTCTAATAGTAACTGGTTAAAGTACTTATGAATTAACCAATTTAATTTTGTAGACTGTTTGTTGTTCACTAATTACTGAACAGTCATTGAAACCATAATCAACTGAGATTAGAACCATGCTGCGTGTATAGATAATTTTAAATCAGTCAGTCAGTCAGTTGCAACGTAGAACTTCGTACGTAAGTACATCAGTTCATGTTGCCATACCACATCAGCACAGAGATATAATTGTCAATTCAAATCCAATAGTGGAAGAGGTAGTAAAGGTATTAGAAGTATTCGGAGAGGTTAGAATTAGAAGATATGATTCACGAAGTATGATTCAATGAGATAAGTTTAGAAAGTCAAAACTAGGTGGGTTGAAGAATCCAGAAGATTAGGATTTGAGAGAACACAAAGAATAAATGCACTGGCGCCATTGCGAACGATTTTGAGCCATGTCATTTATGGTTTCTAACCATTGATTATTATAATCTCGCGGACCCCAACCAAGTAGTCGACAATTACCGACATGGATCAGTCCACTCGTCAATGACTTCATGGATTTGTGCCATGTTTTGGTTTGGCCGCCCCTAACTTTCTTCCAACCTATTTCTACACTACAAAACAAAGCTCGTCGATGAAGTCGCTGATTAGGCATACGCAACACGTGTCCCAACCACCTCAACTGATGAAGTTTCACCACTTCATCTATTGATCTGCCATTCTTACCTAGTACCCGTTTCCTAATAACAGCGTTGCTCACTCGGTTGTCCCACGATATACGAGTAATGCTTCGAAGACACATATGATCGAAAACCAGTAACCTACGAATATCTTCTACTCTCACTGGCCATGTTTCACAGCCATAAAGTAAGACGGAGCGAACCACTGCGCAGTACTGCGCAGTCAGCAAACGGATATCTCGCCTACGCCATAAGTGACGCAGGTTGGCAAAAGCCAATCGAGCCTTCTGTATCCGTGCCGAGATTTCGTCAGTCACCAGGCCATCGGCACTGATGAGACTCCCAAGATAAGTGAAGCGGTCTACACGTTCGGCCACTTCACTCCCTATCACTAGTTCAGGTGCCGATGAAACCCAATCTTGAAGCAACATTTTACATTTCGAGAGGGAAAACCGCATCCCGAACATGCTTGCATTGTTGCTTAGGGTAGTCAGAAGACTCTACATTTTGTCAGCGTCTTCACCAAGTAGGACAATGTCATCGGCATATTCTAAGTCAATAAGCGAGCCACCTGGTAAAAGGTCTACTCCAGAAAATCCAGACGA